AGCTGAGGGGAAGGGTCGGGGGGCCCGACAACAGGGTCTCTACATAAGGCTGTGTTACCTGTGCTCTGCACGAGAGCACACGGCTGACGGGGGCAGTGAGACCTGAGCTCCAGGCTGCCTTTTGCTTGACAAGCCATGGCCCCTATAGGAGGGCTCCACTGGAAGAGGTCCTTTGTTCTCTATTTCATAAAGGTGCTGCTCCCCGCAAGCCATTTACCCCACATCTATTCCGAGGGGCTGTCTTTTGGCCACAAGGTGAAAGGCACAAAGATGCCTTCCCAGCCAACTATCTTACAAGGCTGTGTAATCAGTGAGAATTCTTTGGTTGCCAACACAAACCCAAACTAAGTTAGGAAAAAAGGAGTGTATTGGGGCGATGCTGAATAAACACAGGCTCAAAGAGGAAGCGGAACGCCCAGGCCTAGAACTAGGCAGGAACCAGAGGAGCCTGGGAAGGTGGATGCTCTCACTGACAACCAGCAGAACCACGTGGACTTGCGGAGGAACCGTTTTCCAAAAGAAAGGAAGCCAAGCATTCAAAAAGTAATTGTTGTGTCATAAATCATCGAATGAGATACAAGACGCCGTCATAAGCCAATTAATTAGGAGTCGTTCATTGCGCGCGGCCCAGAGGGAGGTGGCTCTTCCAAATCTCTGAGCCCCGGCATAGGGGAAGTGTCTTGTATTTATACCTTTTGAGCGTCTTTGTTTGCAGGTTTCACTAAGACCTCTGTGTAGGTTATTGTTACAGTTAGTTTGTAACCTTGAATACATAATGAGTTAGTAGTTGGAATTATTATCAGTATTAGTCTATTTTAGTCTGTTACATTAGATGGCTAGCTTGCAAGGTCAGACAGTTTATCTTTTTCTATTATTTGAACTAAAAAACAAAGTCATTTTACAGAATAACAGACTGTCTTGAAGTGACAGTTTATTTATAATGACAGAGTTTACAGGACTAGGGACTATCTAACAATAGCAGAGAGTTTCAAACAGCAGTTTTTTTAATACCAGATAGAGGTTACTATGCTTCATAATAACTTGCTTACACAGGTGGGGAGTACAGCCAGAATGGAGTGCAAGGCTAGGAGGTTTCTGAAAAGGAAACTGCTCACCCTTCCAGCAGTGAGGACAGGTGCCTGGACATGCCTTATGGCAGCGGTTCTCAACTGGTGGGTCGCGACCCCTTTGGGGTCGAACGATCCTTTCACAGGGGTCGCCTAAGACCATCAGAAAACACATATATAATTACATATTGTTTTTGTGATTAATCACTATGCTTTAATTATGTTCAATTTGTAACAATGAAAATACATCCTGCATATCAGATATTTACATGATGATTCATAACAGTAGCAAAATTACAGTTATGAAGTAACAACGAAAATAATTTTATGGTTGGGGGTCACCACAACATGAGGAACTGTATTAAAGGGTCACGGCATTAGGAAGGTTGAGAACCACTGCCTTATGGGATGTAGCCCCTCAATGACTGTGGGCAAAGCTGACCTGGAGAACATGGCCTTGGGCTTACACAGCCTCGTCGATCACTCCTTGACTGTCCATGTGGACTTGCTTTGCTGCCTGCATGACACTCAGAAACAGTCCCACTCCAGGCCAGCTCACCCCAATACACATGAGTGTGGCTCTCCTGGCCGCGAGCTCCCAGGCCCCCGGCATTCTGGGATAATTCAGTGGCCAGAAACCACACGCTGCAAGGTTCCCTCGCCTTTGCATCTGTGAAAGTACGCACCCATCTTTCTGTGGGCCTGGTGGTGATGGTGTGTTCCACAAACTCTAAAGTGTGTGCTGATGACTGGGCAGCTCCTTAAAAGGCAGATGCCTCGCCTGTAACAAGGTCCCAGGTGATGCCCAGGCTGCTGGCCCGAGGCTCACACACCGAGTGGGGAAGCTGTAGAAGACCCCCCACAATGTCTCGTCACCTACAGGGTTTGGCACACGGGGAAATGATGGGCAGATCTGCGTGTCAGTGTGTGTCCTGCTTGCGTGGCTCTGCCTCTACCTCTGCGGGAAACTTCATTGCCTTTTATAGACCAACTGAACAGAAGTGGGAAGAAAAATTACTGCGGAAAACAAGCAGAAAGTGACCGCAAATTAAGAATTCCTGGACAACCCGCTTGGGACCCCGCTCTGCTACAGAGAGCTTTGTTACTTTACCTTCTCTAATAAAACTCTGCTTTTGCTAAAAATAAAAAGAATTTCTGCTCTGAAAAACACAGTTAAGAGGATGAAAATACAAGCCACAGTCTGGAAGAAAATGTTTTCAAATCACATATCTTCTAACGGAATTATCCAGAATATATAAAGAACTCTCAAAACACAATAAGAAAACAAACCACCCAGTTTTTTAAAAAGCCAAAGGATTTGAACAGACACTTCACCAAAGAAGATATTCAAGTGGCCAATAAGCACATGAAAAGATACTAAGTACCATTAATCATTAAGAAAACACAAATTATGCCGAAACCAGTTTGGCTCAGTGGATAGAGCGTCGGCCTGCGGACTGAAAGGTTCCGGGTTCGATTCCGGTCAAGGGCATGTACCAGGGTTGCGGGCACATCCCCAGTGGGAGATGTGCAGGAGGCAGCTGATTGATGTTTCTCTCTCATCGATGTTTCTAACTATCTCTCTCCCTTCCTCTCTGTAAAAAATCAATAAAATATATTTTTAAAAAAAAAAAAAGAAAACACAAATTAGCCCTAGCCAGTATAGCTCAGTGAATAGAGCGTCGGCCTGCAGACTGAAGGGTCCAAGGTTTGATTCTGGTCAAGGGCACACGCACAGGTTACGGGCTCAATCCCCAGTAGGGGGCATGTAGGAAGCAGCCAATCAATGATTCTCATCATTGATGTTTCTCTTTCTCTCTCCCTCTCCCTTCCTCTCTGAAATCAATTAAAATCTATTTTTTTAAAATATATTTTATTGATTTTTTACAGAGAGGAAGGGAGAGAGAGATAGAGAGTTAGAAACATCAATGGGAGAGAAACATCGATCAGCCGCCTCCTGCACACTCCTACTGGGGATGTGCCCGCAACCCAGGTACATGCCCTTGACTGGAATCGAACCCGGGACCTTTCAGTCCGCAGGCCGACGCTCTATCCACTGAGCCAAACTGGTTTCGCTAAAATCTATTTTTTTTAAAAAAAGAAAGAAAACACAAGTTTAAAACCACAATGAGAAATCAGAAACATCAAAAAGGATATATGCACCCCTATGTTCATAGCAGCACAATTCACCATAGCTAAAACAGCCTAAGTGTCCATCAGCAGATGAATGGATTAAAAAACAGTGGTTGCTGAAGCCGGTTTGGCTCAGTGGATAGAGTGTCGGCCTGCGGACTGAGGGGTCCGGGGTTCGATTCCGGTCAGGGGCATGTGCCTGGGTTTCGGGCATATCCCCGGTGGGAGATGTGCGGGAGGCAGCTGATCGATGTTTCTCTCTCATCGATGTTTCTGACTCTCTGTCTCTCTCCCTTCCTCTCTGTGGGAAATCAATAAAATATATTAAAAAAAAAAACAAACAAAAAAAACCCAGTGGTACATCTACACCATGGAATACTACACTGCTGTAAAAAAAAAAGGAGAAATTCTTGCTATTTGCAACCATATGGATGGACCTGGAGAGCATTATGCTAAGTGAAATAAGCCAGTTGAAGAAAGATAAATATCACATGATCTCACTCATTTGTGGAATATAATGAACAAAATAAACTGATGAACAAAAATAGATCCAGAGACATAGAAGCACCGAACAGACCCTCAAACCTCAGAGGGACGGCAGGGGAGGAGGGTTAAGAGATCAACCAAAGGACTTATGTGCATGCCTATGAGCATAACCAATGGCCACAGACAGAAGGAGGGTTTTTGGAGGTTTTTTTTGAGTTGTCTTACATTTAATCGATCAATATTACAAAGTGTTCATGCTACATACAACCTCATAACATCCAGGGGTGTGGGTGCCTATAAAAGGGGGGACTCTGTCCGACCTCTGTCCTACAGGGGGGCTCACCGGCCTGGCCTCCTGCGAGGTCAGGGGCTGTGGACACTTGACCCGCAAGCTTCCGAGTGCTGAGCTCGGAGCCCTGCTCCTCCAGGCCTTCCCGTGAGCTGCGCGTGAACCTGCGCGGCAGGTGGGACCTTCGCAGGCATGGCTGTGAGCAGGCACACGCCACGAGAGAGCTGCCTCAGGGGCCTTTACCTTCTCTAAGAAAATTCTGTTTTTGCTAAAAATAAAAAGTAATGTCTCCTTTCCCCCCCATTGACCTCTCCCTGCTGGCTCCTCCCTCCCCAGTCACTCATGTTATATGCTACCCCCGGGGCTGCTTCTCGTTCTCCTCCCTCAGCTCTGTGCGCCTCTGGCTGCAAGGCAGCGGGGCCTAACGCCTGAGCCCACTCGCCCGCCCGCGATCTCTCGAAGTGGCCCCGAACTCCCCGAGGTCCAGGGCCGGCGTTTAGCTGGCTGGACCAGGTCGACTGCGGAGCAGTTTGGGCTTAAGCACTAAGGCCAGGCTGAGCTCCCGAAGACAGACGTTCTTGCAGAGAACAATGGAAAACGTCTACCCCACCTCCGATGCTGGGGAATTGGGATCAGCCAGCTACACGCCGGCCCTGGACCTCGGGGAGTTCGGGGCCACTTCGAGAGATCGCGGGCGGGCGAGTGGGGCGCGCTGGCCGCAGTGGACGGCAGGCGCAGGACCGGCGCCTCGACGTCTGAAGGATTTCTCGGTGGGGGCGGCCACCCCAGGTCCTGCCTCGCGTGGGAGGCGAGCGCTGAGAACCTGCACACCCAGCTCGGCCAGAAGACGTGCCAAGGCCGGGAGCTGGAAACCAGTGTCGCCAAGTAGGTCTGGGTGAACCGCGGACCCGGCCAGGGCGCGGCGGGGCGGGGCAGGGAGGGGCGGGGCCTGGTCTGGGGGCGGGGCCAAGCCAGGAGGCGGGGCTACGAGGGGCGTCCAGGTTAGAACCGAAGGGGACCTCTGGGAGTTGTCTCCCTTTGCTCCCTTTGCTCCCTTAGCTCCCGTAGCTCCTGTTGCTCCGGCCCGAGACTTTCTCGGGCCGCTGGAGGGTGGAGAGCCGCTGGTTTGCAGAGGGCGTGCTGGGGAGCCAGGTCGGGCGGCCGTCGGGGTTTGTCCGGCTGGTGGAGGGACTGTCGGAGGAGACGTACTCCTGCACCGGGTGGTTTGCCTGCCTGGTGAACTGGCCAACCCGAAGGCGGGAACCAGCAGATACCCCGGTAGCTGAAGAGAGAGGCGAGTCCCGCGAGGAAGGAGGGAGGAGAGAGAGAGGAGCTTTCGGGAACGGACAGAACCAGGCCGCAGGGCTGGGAAGGATCTCAGCAAGTGGGCTGGAGGGCCTGTGGGGCTGGAAGGCGATGGCAGGGGGCTAGCGAGCAGGCTGCCGGGGAAGGGGGCCCTCATCCGCCTGTTGCTTGTAGTCACGATTGCAACCCGCCTCCGCTCACCGGTAACAATGGCCACAACGATGCGGACCCAGAGGCCATAGAAGGGCCAGTGCAAAGAGAGGTCAGTGCCCTGTCCTATCTGCATTGTCACTGAATCCCCATATATGGAGGCCACAAATATGAGGAGCGGGACTGTGGGATGGAGAGAGCACATTCTGACGAGAGAGAGAGAGAGAGAGAGAGAGAGAGAGAGAGAGAGAGAGAGAGAGAGAGACTCCCAATGGGGCCCGGCTTCCCACCCCGTCCTCCCAGGCACCCCACCCCCACCCCCCACGCCCTCCCCATACACAGCTGTGCCTCCCCGGAGCCTATGAAAATATGAGTTTCTTCCACCTCCCCAGCATGATAGAATGTGAAGGCATGGAGTGATGGCCGCTTCAGGACCCCCCAAATGGGTCAATGAACCTCTCTACCACCTGGAACATTTGTACTGACCCCTGCCACCCCCACCACCATGCCTGGAACACCAGACGGGGCAGCACTGGGAGACGTCTCCCAGAACCCTCCTCCCATGAACCCTCCTCCCACACCTGTGAGGAAGCTGCAGAAGGTGACTCAGAGGGGCAGGAAGGGTGAGGAGCACCACAGGATGGAGAGGGTGCTGGGCCAGCAGGAGTAGAACAGGTGTATGACAGAGAGGTACATACCTGGTGGAGGTGTGCAGGGGGTGGAGGGAGAGAATTCATGACTCGCCAAGTTACCTACAGTCCCCGGTACCCCCTGTACCACCCCATCATTCCCTACTCTGTCTTCCTTACCCCAGCCCCAGCCCTTCGCCCATCCACTTTCTCCACATTCATGGTGGTCTCACTGCCCCACATCCACCCCTCTCCCACATAGCTGTCCTTCATGCCCCTCGCCCTCTCCGACTGGCCTGCCGAATGCACACCCCTCCCGGACTGCACACACTCACTTGTCACCCCAAAATGGAAAGGGGCTCTAAGATAACAGAAACAGACCATCCCCTCTCCTTCCTGTCTTTCCTGTCTCTTCTGGAACATGTGGTTGTATTTTATGTGCCTTTACATCCCAAAACAACTCTTATCTGGTCTTTGTCTTCTAATTACCCCATTACTAGGACACCTGAAGTGGGGCCTGGGGGCTTCCTCAAGGCAGGGCTCAGGGAGGGGTTGAGGAGCTAGGAAGTACCATAGATCGGTCATATGTGTAGCTTTGTGTGAGCCTCCGATGTCTGCCTGTCTGTCTGTTTCTCTGAGTATTTCCAAGAGAGAGGGAGTTTGGTGGAGAGAGACTCCCCAACCAGGAAACTTGAAGGAGCAGGTGCGCCCCCCCCCGCCCCTCCCCCCCCCCGCCACGACCACTACCTTCATTTCCTGGACTTCAGTCCCTTTGATGCTCTTTGCACAGATCTTCCCAGGGCTGCTTCCTTCTTGTCATTTGTGTCTCAGTTCAAATGTTACCTCCAGGATCTTCTCCAAAGCTCCCCCCCACACACACACACACACACGCACACGCAAGGGAGTATTCTACATCACAGCCCTTGCTGTATTTTCCCCATAGCTGCTGCCTGGTTTTATCTTGCTTATTAAATTGTTCACAATTGGAAATTGTTCTTTCCACCTGGCCCCAGACCCAGGATGTCCTCCTTGAGGACAAGGCCCTTATGTTTTCATCTCTGTATCCCCAGGTCTTAGAACAATGCCTGGCACATAGAAGGCATTCAGTAAACAGGCGTAGAATTGATTGAATTAAACACAGCGATGCTTGGTTGCTCAGGAAAGACCTTTATTGCTGACTGCCGTCTTTGTCCTGCTCCCTGCATCTCCATCCCCTGCTGGAGCCCTGGCGCTGCCCTATCTTCTCCCCCAACCTGCAGGAGCCTTGCACCCCAGCATCTGCACACCCACCACCACCGCAGCCTCGGATCCCTGGGCAGGGAGGAGTGGGCTGACACGCTGGAGCCTTGAGCCTAGTCTCCAAGCCCGGTTCCCAGCAGAACTGACCTCTGCTCTGGAAGAATCCCTTTCCAGCCAGCCCCACCCCCCTTATAAAGCCACAGCGGGAAACCACTGCTCCTTTAAGCACACAGTCCCCCAAAGAGCCTCAATACAGCTCCACCAACATTTATTGCAGGTTTCTCATATGCCAGGCACAGTGCCCGGTGAGTCTCCAAAGTCACAGACATGCCAATGCCAGTGCCTGTCTCCCTCTGAGTCTCCGAGAGTCCCTGCGCCTCCTGTGGTCAGCGTGGCAGTTTCTGTCCTGGGCAAGTTTCTGTGCACGAGTGAAGGGAAGGGGTGATGGCCTAGCTCAGAGAAGGCCTTGTGCCAGACCTGGGCCCCCCTCGCCAGCAGCTGTCTGCTCCACTCTGTCAGTCCCTCAGCTCCTTGTGGCATCGCATGGGGGCCATTTCTCATCCAGAAGCAGACCCTCTCTATTCTCTGCCCATTGCTTGGCCCCACGTCTCTGTGAGAGGACCAGGATGAAGGCAGGAAGGCCCAGCAGCTCACCAGCTGGCCCATGATCCACAGCTTCCGTTTCTTCCGTTTCTTGGGGTCCAAGGCCAAGGCTGGACGCTGATTATAGTTCAGTTGGGTGCTTTCCCAGCAAAGATTACAGACGCCAAGCTTTGGGGCAAGGAGAAGGGCTTGTGGGCTTCAGGGGCCCTCAGGCCCCAGCTACTGGCCGTCTTCAGAAGTCCCTTGGGCTCCTCTGCCAGGCTGCTTGTCTGCTCCATAACATCACCCTCTAATTGTCATGGGACTCTGGCCTCCAAGAGTCCCAGATCCCAGGGCTCTCAACCGAGCTCTGGCCTCTGGCCGCCAAGCCACATCCAGCTCATTCTCCTCTGGCACTCAGACCTGGGGTCTTTCTCGGAGAGAACAATAGTTAAAATGGGGGCTGAGGGAAGAACTGGGGCAGTCACTCATGGGGGAGAAGGCAAGATCATACACATACCACACTCACAGATACACACACACACACACACACACACTCTCCGAGAAACACACACTGGATTCTTCTAGAAGAGAAAACCTGGCTTGAGAGGACATAGGAAACACCCTGAGAATGAAATCTAATACTTCTTCGATTCAAAGGGCAGGACTGGCTGTTGCTATAGAACCGAAGAGAGTCACTACTGATCTCTTGGGTCCAGATCAGCCGCTCTGCACTAAGCCTCTGTCTCCATTGGCCACACACTCAAACCAGCCTCGTTCTCCCTCATTGCCTGGGCTCTGACCATCCTGTTTTCATTGGCTGCCTTGTCCTGAAGCTTGGTCCCTATTGGTTGCCACTAGAGGTAGTATTTCCACTGACAGCGAATCCAATAGATAGATGAGCTTTGTCCTCTCTGTGCCACGCTGCCAGCTGTCCCCACCTGTGCCCCCTCCCCAGCATGCATTAGGATTGGGGGGCACTGGGGTTTCCTGAAGACGGTCCAGCAGCCTCAAGGAGCCTCTGGTGCTGGCGAAGGTGCCTCCTCCTTTCATGTTCCCCTGTGACTTCACACACCAGTTGGGCAGGGAAGGCCCCAGGAAGGCCCTTCAGCCAGCCTGGAGAAAGAGAGAAGGGGCCCCAGGGGAGCCAGGGAAAGGGGCAGTCAGGAGGGAAAGGAGGCACCATGGGGTCTAGTGTCTGAGGGTCATGGTGAGAACGGGAGCATTGGTAGAAAAGCCACTGGAGGTGACAGTATCACCAAAGAGGGTCAGGGTCACCCCTTTGTCAAGCCCTGCAGTGGCTGCTCATCCCACTCAGAGTGGAAGCCCGAATCCTTGCAGGGATCTCTGAGGACCCACATGATATAGTTCCTGTTATCTCTATGACCTTGTCTGCTTCTCTCCCTTCTCCTCACTCCCTCTAGCCACACTTGCCTCCTTACTGTCTCCTAAACACACCAACCACAGTGCCTTCCACTGACTCTAGTCTCTGACTGGAACCTTCTTCCTCTGGATGCCACGTGCCTAAATTCCTCAGCTCCATCAAGTCATCGCCGACACGGTGCCTCCTCCTGGAGGTCCACCTCAGCCTCCCTGTTTAAACCTGTAACCCACCCAGCCCTGGGACGCCTGCCCTCCTTGACTGCTGCACTTGGGTTTTTGCCATAGACTCATCACCTTCGGACGCACTATATGCAATTTACTTTTGATCTTGTTTGTTCTTTATTGTTTCTCCTCCACTAGAACGCATGCTTCGCAGCACAAGGATATCTGTGTGTTTGATTCACAGCGCCTAGAACAGAGAGCGGCCCCTCCCAGGTGCTTAATATTTACTGAATGAAGAAATAAAAGGCTCACCTTCAGGGCTCTTGTGTAGGTGCTTGGGGGGAGCCCTGGACTCCAGACCCTGTCCCTCAGTCTTGGCTGGTGTCGAAGGCTCTGAACACAGATCCTGGGAACATTCTGGTTGGGGTTGGGTGACATTTACAGCAGGATCAAGACTATATTTAGCTTCTCCCCCATATTTCCCCTTGAGATTCTTTTCCTTCCTTCTCCCTCTAGGGGTTACTCACCACAGTCCTCATAGATGGTGTCTGGGGAGCAGGGAAGGGGGCCGGGGGTGGGGAAGGCTCCCAGCCAGCGCTGCATGTCTGATCTGGTGGGACAAGGGAGGGTCCCAATTGGCCCAGGAGATCCTACCAGGGGTTAGGCAGGGGCCACAGAGAAGAGAGATTGGGGAGGAGGTGGTAGGCTCTGAGAGGTCAGGTCAAGGCCCCTTTAGGAGACACAACTCACAGGGAGGAAGCTTGGAGTAGCCGTTGGGTGGGGCGGCCCTGGTGGTTGCTGAGAAGGGAGAGGCGGAACGTCGGGGGTCCAGATGGGTCTGGAACCTGCTGGGCCTGGACCAGGGAGCGATGGGCATAGTCCAGCACCTGTAGCCGCTGCCCACTGCCCAGGGGAGAGGAAGTTCAGAAGGAGAGCAGACTGCTTCTCCCCACCCCTGCCTGGCCTCCCACCCTCCCTGGGACCCACCTCTTAGGCTGCGTGATGAGCAGCAGGTCACTAAAGAGCAGCAGGCAGAGGGGAGTGAAGCGGGGGCGCGAGGTGAAGAGCATGCCCCCTCTCCGGCACCCTAACTCCGTCAGCTCCCCCTGCAACTCCAGGCGCCTCGACCAGGAGACCAGGGGCAGGGCCTGGGAGGGAGCAGGGAGGAGGTTCTGGCTTCTTTATCGTACAAAATGGGGAAAGGGATGGTGGGGAGTCTAGACAGAAGCTGACCTTGACTTTGTGGAAGCGCAGCCTCTGGGTGAGCCGGATCAGCTCCTCCGTCTGCTTCATGCGCCCCACCTCAGCACTGCAACGCTCAATGATCTGGGTGAGGGGAGCTCGGTCACTCACCCCTACTCCCTTCCTCCCTTCCCTCTCCCTGACCCCCTCCTCGCCTCCCTGGGCCTCAGCATCCCCCGCAGCCCACCTTGCTGATAGCACCCAGGGCCTTCTGGGCATTCTCCTGGCGGCTGGACCCCTCCTCTGTCTGGTGGAGGATGTTCTGAGGACAAGGAGGAAGGGTGACTGGGCCCCTGCTCTGCAGCCCTGGGGTTCAGAGGGGCTGCAGCTCAGAGGCCCCTTGCCTGGCTTGGCAACATGCTCAGTTTGGGGTTCACAGGGCTGAGGAACCAGCCTCAACAAGGCTGAGAGACCTCGCCACTCACTGTCTGCCTAACCCTGAGCAAGTCTCGTTACCTCTCTGAGCCTCGGTTTCTGCATCTGTAAATTGGGGGCAATACCCACCTAGCCTACCAATGGAGGATTCAGCAACGTAATATATGCAAAGCACTTAACATAGTCCTTGGCACATAGTGAGTGCTGGAAAGAAGGGTGCTGTTATTTTAATAATTACTAACCACAACTATTAGTAAAAACAATGAAGCACAGTGGTTAGAGTGCCTGGAATGAAACTTTGTCTCCATCAGTGATTTTCTGGATGACCTGGACAAGTTATTTAACCTCTCAGAGGAAGGGAGAGGGAGGGAGAGATAGAAACATCGATGATGAGAGAGAATCACTGATTGGCCCCCTCCTGCACGCCCCCTACTGGGGATGAGCCTGCAACCCAGGCATGTGCCCTTGACCGGATCGAATCTGGGACCCTTCAGTCCACAGGCCGATGCTCCACTGAAACAAACCAGCTAGGGCTCAACCTTTTATTTTTTAATTCAGAATCACCCAGCTCAGGAGCCTTTTTAGAAATGTAATACCACAGATATGCTGTATCTCTTATGTAGCAGGGCCCTTTGAAGTTCCACAACCATTGGAATATTTAGGATATTTTTTACCTCCCAAAGAATCAATTTTGCCTCCTTGGGCGTGATATCACCCCACTGGGGAGGGAGGTATGCAGTGAGAGGTACAGCTGAGGTGGCCACCACATTCCCTCAGAGACCCAGAGAGAGAAAGGGACTTGCCCAAGGTCAATCAGCCAGTTCGAGAACTCCTGCCTCTAGCCAGAGGTTCATTTCCTGCACCCAGCATGCTCCCTGAGACATTTGAGTAGCTCCAGGCAGAGTCTGGCGGGTCCTGGACTGAGAGGCCCCGATTGGATCTGATTTAGGGAAGCCCTGTGTTCACGGCGGGGTGGGAGATGGCGATGGCGATGGCGGGGCAGGAGAGGCCCCGGCCGCACGGTACCTGCAGCAGCATGCGGAGCCGCGTGATGCGCTGAAAGGGCAGCAGCAGGAAGGACGGCAGCGGGAGCCGCTCACACTTGGGGAGGCTCTGCAGCCGGCGCAGCTCCGCGGAGAAGCGCACGTTCGTGTCCCTGCAGAAGCAGCCCCGGCCGCTGGAGTGGGCCTGGAGGCCCGGGTCACCCGCCTGCCCGGGCCTGGACCCCCACCCCTGCACCCTGGGCTCCCCCACAGGTGTGACCTGGCCCCTGCCCTGGAGCTCACATAAGGCGGCTGTAGGTCTCCTCCTGGTACTGCTGGTTGCGCACGTAATCCACGTACACGGAGAAAGGGCCCACGGCGTGGGCATGCACCACGTCGCAAAGGTCGTTGATGTGGGGGGAAGAGCGTACACGGGACAGCAACGCCTCGAGAAACCTGCAGGGGTGGGGAGCCGTCGGCGAAGGGGAGCAGAGAGCCAGGGGCCCTGGGACAGGCTGCAAGTTAAGGGGCGCTCCGTTGGCTGAGAGGGCAGCACCCCACTGACCACTCGCTGACTTCCTGGACTCTCTGCACGTTGGAGAAGAGGGTGTGGTGGTCGCGGGGGGTGAGCGTGTCCCGGAGCGCCTGGCTCCGCACGAAGGTGTCGGTCAGCAGCTGCAGGGAGCGCAGGTAGGAGGCCTCGGAGGTCACCACCTCGAACAGGCTCTGCGGGGGAAGAGGAGGGGCCACGTGGAAAACTCAGTTCCCAGCCTGCCCAGGGCCCAGCCGCACTCCTGCCCCGGCCAGCCCCCCGTACGCCACCTCCTGCATGCGCCTCTCCTGGGGGCTGAGCGTGTCCAGGAGGCCACTGGCTCGCACCGCCGGGAGCTCCTGCCACAGCGTGTTTCGGGGGCCAGGGAGTCGGGCGAAGGTGGGAGCGTCTCCAGGGTTTGTCGGAGAGGAACTCCCCTCCGTACTGACCCCCCACAGCTCCTCTGACAGCACGGCTGCGCGGTAGGTCTGGTACAGGGGTTCTGGAGAGCAGACAGCGCATCAGGGAAGTCCAGTGCCCCCAGAGCCCTTCTCCCAGCCTGAGGGTCACAGCAGGGACCCCCAGGCCCAGAGGCCTCACCATCCTGCAGGGGCACCTCCCAGTTCTGCTCCTTCAGCTCCTTCAGGCCCTCATCCCTGTGGAGAGAAGAAGGGATGGAGTCCCCCAGAGCCAACCCAGCTGCACACCTCCAGGGGCGCTAGCCACGTGATAGTGTAAGGTTGTGTGCGGGGACCCTCGCGGCTCCCAGACCAAACCCCAGATATTGTTATGTGCCTGTTGTATGGGAGGCCCCGACTCAGCGGGCTCCATCTCCGCCCGATATCTCAATGCTGTGTACCAGAGACTTCCAAGTCTTTACCTTTCCAGCCCTCTCACGTAGCAACCACCATCTGAAATGTCCTCTCTGTGGCTCCGTGAGACTCAGCATGATAAACCCAAACTCACACCTCCCCTTCGCCCGCCTGCAGCTCTGTCCCTCCTGTTCTGGTTACGACATACCCATTCCCCCAAGCTAAAACCCCAGGAGAACAAACACCAGTAAATACTTATTGAATGAATGAATGGGCTCAGATGAACTCTGATAGTGATGGGGAATCTAAGATCATTAACTAGCCCAGACGACACTGAAGAGATAATTACAATAGAGGCATGAGGTGGGGAACTAAAATGGAGCACTTACTAGGGACTGGTTCTTCACCAATGTTATAGTCTATGAAGTAGTTGGTATGCTTACCCCCATTTCACAGATGAGGAGCCTGAGACCCGGAAAGGTTAAGTGACTTACAGAAGGTCACAGAGCTGATAGGGGACAGCGCTGGGATTGCTTGTCTCTAGAGCCCCAGGCCGCCTTCACTCCACCTTTGTGGAGGTGGGACTTAGCAGGACCTGCAGAGTCTGCCCTCAGGTAGGAGTAAGGCGGGGACGGTTGTTGGTACCTGCCCTCCATGGTTGCTGGAGCATCATTCTGAGGGGCTTCATCTGGACTGTTCCCTAGAGAGAGAGCCCAGAGTGAAGAGAATAAATCCCCAGAATCCCCACCCGACTCCTGACTCCTGCCCCAGCAGAGACTGTTACCATAAAAACTACCACTCCCATCAGCCCTGGAGCTGCAGCTGGCGGAGAAACAAAACAAGCTCAGGGCCTATTGGGGGTTGTAGTTTGTTCATCTGTAGACCGCTACCCCTCCACCCCTTCCCCTCCCAGCCAAAGGACCCACTCTCCCAGGCCCTGTACCTGTTTGGTTTCCATCTTCAGAGGGCAGACGAAGATCTGGCTGTGGGGGGTCCCCCGAGATGGTGGGGTCCTGCCTGACCCGAGTTGGTTTTGGGGGTTTGAGAGGTGGCAGGAGTTTGCGCTCAGCAGTGGAGCGGTAAGACGTGAGGACCACTGAGGGGTGACTGATGCTGGGAGGGTTGGGGCGGGAGCGGGAGGCCCGCAGTGGGGAGGCTCGGCAGAGGGCCTTGGGACCATCCTCATAGCCCCCCACAGGGACCCACCGGAGCTCCAGGCCAGGCCGGGCTACATGGCAGACACAGGGGCAGCAGGGCGGGCAGGCCTGGGCAGCATCTGTGGGAGATGAGGTGTCCTAAGGAAAAAACCCTTGGCCCCACGCTGCCCAGGGTCCTTCCCCTTAACCTGCCCAGCAGCTGAACATGGCCCAGCCCCAGGCATCTACTCTTCAACACGGACTCTCTTCAAACTCCCAGAAATATGAAAATCAGATCTTCCAAACGTAAAATCCAATGTTTAAACGGTAGCCCCTGAAAGGACCCAGCCTTAAACCATTGAAAACAATAAAAGATGAGCTGGATTGAGCCCCCCTCGCCCCATGAAATGCTTACCCGGTGCGCCATTCTCCTGGGATCCCCTTCTCCTGAGGCTGCCCCGGAGAGTCTCTCTCTCCCCATTCACATCCATGCCCCCCTGGGGAGCTGGCTCTGTCGCGTGTGCAGCCTGGACCCGGCCCTCAGTCCCCCATTCGAATTTGCCAGCCAGTCTCCGCACAGTGCCTGGGGCAGAGGCAGGGCCATCCTGGGCTTGGCCCCGGGGGGCTGGGTGCGGCAGGGGCAGAGGTGTGCGGGGTGACCCGGAGGGTTTGGGTGGGGGGACTGGAGACCTGGGTGCAGGTTCTGGGGAGATGGAGCGCCGGGACACTGGACTGGGGGTGCTGGAAGGGGAGTCTGGGGAGGCCTGAGAGTCGAGGCTGGTTTTAGAAGCGGAAGGGGGCAGCAGGCCAGGGGGCTTGAGGGAAGAGGCAGGGGGTTCCCAGAAGATGGGGGAGCACATTGGGGTCGGTGCATCATTGGAGGTGCCAGAAGGTTCTTGAGGAGAAGAGCCATTGTGGGGGGGCCCAGGGGACTGGGCAGCCCGAGGTCGAGAGGGGGGGCGCGGGCGGATGATCCGAGGGGGCTTCTGGGTAGGGGGTGTTGCTATAGGAAGAGACGGGTCTGACATCTTCCTTTGAGCTTTTCAAAGGAGTGGGGGGCTCTGCTGGAGTCATCCCCTGAGGAAGAGGGAGGGAGAGACAGAGAGACCCTCAGTGGCACCCCCTGGCCTGGCCTGGGTAGACGACGCCTCAAGGCAGAGGTTCTCAACCTGTGGGTCGCAACCCCTTTGGCAGTCAAACGACCCTTTCACAGGGGTCACCTAAGACCATCCTGCATATCAGATATTTACATTATGATTCATAACAGTAGCAACATTACAGTTATGAAGTAGCAACGAAAATAATTTTATGGTTGGGTCACAACATGAGGAACTGTATTTAAAGGGCCAGAAGGTTGAGAACCACTGCTCTAAGCAGAGCTTGTTTGCCAGCAAATCAGCCATGATTTTGGAGTCAGGAGGGAAGGCTGCTGTGCTTCCTCTCCTTCCTGCTCATTCCCAGTCTTCTCTCTTCACCTCGCACCCCTCGCATTCCCGAGACCCCTCCCAGGCAGCCTTTCTTGGCCCTCCCAGCCTCCCTTCCTCTCTGGCCTGTAGCTTCTGCAGCCACAGTCTGGATGGAGGAGACAGTGAGGCTAGGGTGGGGGTGCCCCAGCAGAGACCCAAGGCAGGGGAGGGGGCACAAGAGAAGGGGATGGAAGGGAACTGAGCTCGCCAGTCTAGCCACAACGCCTAGGCTTGATGAGTTGTGTGTGTGTATGTCCATAGAGTGTGCGTGCGAAGGTTGTGAGTGTAGTTTAAGTGTGTGTGCGCTGTTCCCAGTGCTATATGAAGGGGTGGCATGCAGGGGGAGAGTGGAATGCGGGGAACGGAGTGGTGGGAGAGGGTGCGAGGGTGGATGTGCTCTGTGCTGTCTGTGGGGACGTTCGCCGTGTGTGAGTGACTGCGCACACGCCCGCCGGTGCTGGCGTTGGGGCTGCATCACTATTTCCCTGCTCCCGCTGGCCCTCCGCCCCCCATTTCCCAGTTCCTCTCTCCGGACTCTCCCTTTCCGGATTATTTTTAGTCTCCTTTTCCTGCCGTAAAGATTCCTGGAGCCTCTGACCCCAAGAGACCAGGAGGCCCCGGACATGGTCTCTCCTGCCCCGTCCTCTTACCCCTGCCCGCCCCATCCCGCCATCGGGTCACAGGGAAAGAGGCCCCAGTGGGAGCCTGGGTCCTGCCGGGATGCCTGAGGGTGGCGAGGAGGCCAGACTGAAGGCCAGAGCATGGGGACCTGGGCTCCACTTCCTCCCTCCGGGAAGGAGGCCGTAATCCTGAGAGGACCGCAGGGTCAGGGCTGGGAGATGGGGGTGAGTCCCAACTCCCCTCAGGAGTCAGCAGGAGAGTCAGACCCCCCACCACCGCCCCAGGCGCCAGATTGGGTTCTTGAGGAACGAGGTAGGGTGGGGGCCTGCGCCGTAGACTGTGAGCCTTGCCGCTCAATGGCCTCTGTATCCTGGCAGGAAGCCCCTTATCAACATGACCCAGGCAGTGGCCTCCCTGGCTGGCCCGCTCCTCCCCAGCTTTGCCCGCTCGGGGGTCCCGCCCCTTCTCAGGTACCTTCCTTTGCTGTTTACTTCCTCTCCCACCCCCCACACAGCCTCGCACAGGGACCCAGGTATTGGCCCGAGCACTCACCCTCGAGTCCTCTCCACTCTCAGTCACCTCCTAGGGCTGAGTGAGTAGGAGCAGGAAACAGGAATCAAATCCTCCTCCCACCGGACACCCCCCCAAGCCACACCGCACTCCACATGCGCACACCGGGGCTCTGGAAGATGGGATGGACCCGTGTCCTGGGGTCCTGAGGTTCACAGGGCCTGGGGAAAGGCTGAAACCGGGGTGTGGACAGCCGGCTACTCTGTATGTGCACGTCCTGTCGGCATTGCTGTGCAGATGGGGGCTCCTGGGCTGGAGGTGAACAGGGGTGGGGTGAGGATGGGGTGAAAATGGCACGGGGCTGGGCTGACACCTCTGGCTCAGCTGAGGGATGGTGCGTGTGCTCCTCGCGGCCTGTCTGACCACCTCTCCCACACCTCACCCGGCTGCCTGTCACCATCGCTTCCAGCCTGTTCCCGGGTGTGAGCCAGCCCACTGTGTCACACCAAGGGGCCCCTCCCCCATCCTCTTCCCCCCAACTCTGCAATAGCTCCCCCTGAATTTACCTTTATCTTTTTGGAAGTGGTTTCTATTTTCAGCCTGTCCTGCCTGCCCCTTGGAGCAAGGAGTGTGGGGCCAGGTCTCCGAGTGTCTGTTCCTGGGTTTCTGGGGCGGGAACTGAGGGCCCAGATTGAGATCTCAGCAGAGGAAGCCAGTTCCTCAGCCCCACCCGGCCATTGTGTCAGGCGTGAGTGTGTGAGTGTGTGTGTGTGTGTGTGTGTGTGTGTGAGTGAGTGTGGAGAAGGGATGGGGCGAGGGTGGAGGTGGAGAGGAAGATCTATCTGAGATCTGTCTCTTTCAGGAGGATATGACTTTGCTGGGCCCCCTGCCTGCTCGCCATTCTCCATCACCGTCTCTCAGGTCCCAGCCTCTGACTTTCTCTGTCCCACTGGGAGGCTTTGATTGGCTGGCAGTCAGTGCCCCTGGGGGCGGGGGTGGGGGGGGGGGGGGGGGGGGAGGGAAGTAGGGTCTCTCTCACCTCTAATTTGCTCTATGCTTGAGCAGCTGAGTTCCAGGGCTGGGGGTGTGTCATAAAAACAGCTGAGGGCGTGGAATGAGCCACACCCCAGGCTGAGAAGTAGGGTAATGGGAGGAAGATGGGAAGGGCAGTTGTGAACTGCCCGTGCCTTTGCCCACACCCACGTGCCTGCCTTTGCCAGACCTTCACACACATACACACACACACCAACAAGACACAGGGAAGGAAAGCCAGAAAGCTGGGGAAAAACATGTTTTAACCTCTTTTTCTTCAGAGTAAAAGCCAAAGTCCTTACAATGACCAACAAGTCCCTGGACTATTTTCCCTCCGACCTAAACTCTCCTCTCCATGCCCTGACTAGTTTGGCTCAGTGGATAGCGCGTCGGCCTGCGGACTGAGGGGTCCCAGGTTCGATTCTGGTCAGGGGCATGTACCTTGGTTGTGGGCACATTTCCAGTAGGGGGTGTGCAGGAGGCAGCTGATCGATGTTTCTCTCTCATTGATGTTTCTAACTCTCTAGCCCTCTCCCTTCCTCTCTGTAAAAAATCAATAAAATATATTTTTTTTAAAATAAAAAATAAAAAAATAAACTCTCCTCTCCGGCACCCTGCTGCCTCGGGGACTTTGCACGGGCTGTGTCTTCTGCATGGAACCCTCCTTCCCAAGACATCCACATGGACGAGTCAGTCCCTCACGTCTTTTAACTCACTGCTCAAAGTTCACTTTCTCAATGAGGCCTGCTGCCCCATTCTTTACAATTGCAGCCCACAACCTCATACCACATTTTGGACCTCTCTTCCCCCGCATAACTATCATTCATTATAACATACCATATACTAGTAGTTTATTATTAAATTGTCACATATATAGTTAATTACCTTTTACATTAGAAATTAAGCTTCCTAATCTTTATCTGTTTTATTCACTAATACACGCCAAAGTTCTGGAACAGGGTCAGGTTATAATAGTGCTTAATATTTGATGAATTGAACCAAATTGAACCCCACAGTCTACTCCTTCCCTGACTCCCCTTCCGTACAGATCATTTCCATAATTCTATTGATTCCACCAGTTTCCCATCACACACACACACACACACACACACACACACACACACCAGGACCAGGCACCTAACCTCTAAGCCTTTATGTCTAGATCCTTTTGTGTTTCCTAGGAAAGTAAATCTCTCCCCAAAAGTGCCTCAGAGACCCTATCAAGAAAGCTAGATACACATGTGTGGCCAAAAAAATCCTGTTTTGTATTGTTTTTACTGAAATGGAAATATCTTTATTAGCTTTGCTACTTACAGAAATATCATTGAAAAAGATACCTGGCCCAACTGGCATGGCTCAGTGATTGAGCGTAGACCTATGAACCAGAAGATCACGGTTCGATTCCTGTTCAGGGCACATACCCAGGTTGCAGGCTCCATCCCCAGTGAGGGGCTTGCAGGAGGCAGCCAGTCAGTGATTCTCTCTCATCATTGATGTTTCTATCTCTCCCTCCCCCTCCTCTCTGAAATCAATAAAAATATATTTTAAAAAACAAAAAAATAAATAAAACACACACACACAAAAAAAAGATAACTAATCAAAAGTGGTCAGCTACGAACATGAGTGGCACTTGGTCCCGCGTGAACCACCCCAAGTTTGAGCGGGAATGTGCGCAAAAGAGGAATTAGATGGGATGGGCTGCCCTAGACCTTTGCCTGCCCTCCCTGGCAGGTCTGAGCTCGTTTCATTGTCTTCTTTCCCCAGACAGACCCACCTGGAGGCTTTTTACCTGTCAGGGCAGCATGTTTTGAGGAACATGAGAAGCTCCTTGGAGCTACACTGAGGACATTCTAACACGCCTGGCAAAAAGCTCCCATTGGGCCCACTGCGCAAAGCAACCACAAAGATAAAAACCATGACTTCTCAAGTCTGTGCAAATCACCATCTATTTAGTTGTGCCCCATCCAATTCCAAAACAAAACTGAGCTCCGTAGATGGCCCTGGGTTGTCATTGCTGCTGCCTCCACCGCGTTGTGCCCGCCCCTCGAAGACCTAAGGGTCAGCGAAGGCTGATGCTCAGTGGGCGAGTGGTGACCAAGGTCATTTCTGCTCTGGGGCTAGCCTGGCCTCAGCCAGCCTGCAGACTGCTGAGGTTTGAAGCAGGAGATGGTGTGGTCAGTGTCCCTCTCATTAGAGCTGGAGGAGAAGCCATCGTGAAGGTCTCAACAAGGCCCGGTGATGCTCTAGAACGGGAGGCAAGCCAGTTGGGAGCAGATTAGATCCAGCTCCAATGTTGCTACCTTTTCCTGGAATGGAACCCTGCATCAGCTTCAGGGGTCCTCAAACTTTTTTTTTTAATATATTTTATTGATTTTTTACAGAGAGGAGGGGAAAGATAGAGAGTTAGAAACATCGATGAGAGAGAAACATCAATCAGCTGCCTCCTGCACACCCCTACTGGGGATGTGCCCGCAACCAAGGTACATGCCCTTGACCAGAATCGAACCTGAGACCTTTCAGTCTGCAGGCCGACGCTCTATCCACTGAGCCAAACCGGTTTCGGCAAGGGGTCCTCAAACTTTTTAAACAGGGGGCCAGTTCACTGTCCCTCAGACCGTTGGAGGGCCGGACTATAGTTTAAAAAAAAAAACTATGAACAAATTCCTATGCACACTGCACACATCTTATTTTGAAGTAAAAAAACAACACGGGAACAAATACAATATTTGTATTTGCATGTGGCCCGCGGGCCGTAGTTTGAGGACCCCTGAGCTAGATGTTGCCATCCTAGTAACAGCAGCAAATGTCTTCTAGGAGACTCTCCATGCCCGATCCAACTCCATATGGTTCTAGTGGGACAGCCAACCACAACAGCCGCCTCCTGGCCACCTGGCCAGGTTTGGTCAATCACAGTACCCATTGCTCCGGCCACAGACACTGGCCCCGGAATGAGCAAGTCACCCACGCCAGCACAGCCTCCTGCCCTGAGCCTCTGGGAAAGAGCAGCTCTCTCTTTCCTCCAAGGTCACAAAGCAGGATAATGTAAGTCTGCAGCAATCTGTGCCTGGGCCTCTCTTCCCTCTCAACAGGGGAAACCAGTCAATAGTGGGAGAAAATGCGCCCCATACCCACAGGAAGCTGAGCCGAGAGAGGGTGGGAGCCCAATTCATTTGAGTCCCTTGGCTGTCCAGGTTCCTAAGCCACTGAATTCACTTTTGTGCTTAAACTAGTTTGAGCTGGCTCTGTCACTTCCTGCTGAAAGAATCTTCGTCACTGCAATGCACTCCCTACTGCAGGGCAGTTGGGTAGCTTCTCGTTTTTGCTATTACAGTTAATGCTGCAATGAACATCTTTGTGTCTCCAATTTGAAATATGACACAGAGTAACCCTAGAAGGGTCGCTGTGATTGATTTTGATGGTGCTTGAAGATTTTCTGGAAGAATGGAGGCGTCCTCGGGTCTTTCTCATCTCTTTACCTCCACATCAGGTGGCCTTCACCCTTTTTCAGTCTTCCTTATGTCGCTCTCTTAGAGTTTTCCTTGAAACTCAGTTAGAGTTTGGACATGCTGATGGGCAAGGCATGACCATTTGGGGAGACCACCCAAGGGAGGCACACTGAAGAAGAAAGCAGGCCTATCTGAAGAACTGTGAAAGGGAAGCTTAGGTAAAAGACAGAGGGGTATGAATGAGGCTGGAGGAACAGTAGAGTCCACACTGTAGGCAACCTGACAGGGCAGAACAGGCACTGAAGGTGTCTGAGCAGGGGTTGGGGAGTGGACAGCAATCGTTTTAACCAGTTTTATACCCAATTTCCCCTCTTCCGGTACCAGCACCTGGTGTGTTTTGTTTTGTTTTGTTTGGGTGGGTTTTTTTGGAGGGGGGTGTCACCCCTCCATCATTCTAGGTCCACATGACCCATCCTAGGGGAATGCATAGCCCAGAAGCAGCCAATCAACACATTCTTTCTTCCCTAGGTACTGAGATTAATTTAGGAATAAGCATGTGACACAAACAGGGCCAAAGCATAATCCACCACGCCTTACTCAGTTATTGGAAAAGAAACTCTTCCCTCTGGTGGATTATTTTCATATATATAATTAATTTCAGAGAGGAAGGGAGAGGGAGAGAGAGATAGAAACATCAATGATGCGAGAGAATCATTGGTCGGCTGCCTCCTGCACGCCCCCTGCTGGGGATGGAGCCTGCAACCTGGGCATGTGCCCTTGACTGGAATCAAACCCGGGACCCTTCAGTCCGCAGGCCGACGCCCTATGCACTGAGCCAAACCAGGTAAGGCTCTGGTAGATTATTTTCAGAGATGGCTGCAACAATCCCTCCCATACAAATGCCCTTTTGCAATGTGGCTTTACCACTCCTCCCATTAAGAGGTGGAATCTATTTCCCCTCCAATTCAATCTGGGCCGGCCCTGTGACTTGCTTTGATCAAGAAATGCAAAAGAAATGACACTGCCTATTTGGTGCCCCGGCCTTAAGAAAACTGGCAGCTTCCACTTTGTTCTCTTAGAAGCTATGCCGGGAGCCGGTCCATGCTTGCTGTTTCAAGGGACCTGGCATATATGGCATACTGTTCTTAATATGTTTGCTCACCTTCTTGGCACTGTGTTTTAACCAAGGTCTCCTCTCTGAGAAAGGTTGTTTCCCCAGGTAGGGATT